TCTGGTTCCGTGATGGCTTTTCTTCTCTTATGTAGTTCCATCATGGACTGTAGGATAGTGAAAACATACATTATGATTTAAGTCTTCAGAATAGATTCAAGTTAAAAAGAAAACTAATTGGATTAATTGAAACAGTACCACAATTAATCAAACTAAATCTTGATTCTTTCTAGTACTGCAACATATTTTTTAATAACATTTCATCAATGACAGTAAAGTTCTACTATACTGTAAAAATACTTACCCGTCTCTTACACAACTCAAGAATGATGTAGATATTGAGGGAATCTTCGAAGAAGCTGTGGAAGCCAACCACATGCTTGTGCTGCAGCGATCGATGGATGGATATCTCCTGAGCCATTTTCTCCTTCTGACTTGACTTCACCATCAGTTTTTTGGAAACTATTTTCCCTGCCCATACTTGGTTAGTGGATATGTCTTGTATCTCATAGCATTTAGCAAAGCCACCCTAAAATGTACAAAAATTGGTCAGTTTAAGACCACAGAGTGCTGATAAAGAATCAATATGACTCCTATCTAGTTATTTAATAGGTATTGATTTTATAATGGCAAAATTATGGGTCATTCAGTAGTCAGGAATGAAAGTAAAAGACTGTCAAGTTTAAAATAGCAGGACATTACTCAATTAAAACATGGTTTCTGTAATAAATGTGGTATTTTCTTATGGTATTAATAAGAAAAAAAATATAACAGCAGTTATTTTTTTGTTAAAATTTGTATGGCCTATGTTTGCTTATCATCTATTGGTAACAATTTGTCTAGGTTTGCGCTAAAACTAGGTATATAAACATTAAGAAACATTGATAAACCTAAAAGCAAACTTATTGAGCACTTGAAGCACCTGTTATTTTATGCACGCATTTAAAATGTAACCGACAAATTATGAATATATATCTCCTTAACAAGAGCTGGATGCTTTCAATGAGCATAAGTTAGCAGTTCTGGTTGCGGCTAGGCAATTAACATCTAATTAAACAGTGATTTAGTTTAACGGTAATCAACGTTTGTAATTCTCATCGACGTAACAGGTGCTAACACCGTTGGAAGTGATTCGAATGTTGGAGCACCAATATTATATATAGCTCTATTTTTTAAATAATTCTACTCAGAATCACAATTAGATAAAAATAATCATGAAAATGATTAGAAATATGGAGAAAAACTTACCTTGCCAAAGAATCGTAACCTCTGATAGGTGCAGTTCGTCTGGGGATCGTGGATAATTTCCGGAATTTCTTTCTTTTCGTCTTCTTTAATCGACGTCATTTTAAACTAGCTTAAAATATAAAATTATAAGTGAAATAAAGTTATGATTAACAATAAACTATTGATGATTGTTGACAAATTCACAAAGGAGATTTCAAACGGCCATACGTTTGAACTTTGAAGCAACTTTGAAGGCTATTTGAACGGTTTGGTTGCGTGCCCAATCACAGATGAGCATTTCCTACCAATGTTGCTATTTGTTATTTATAAACTCTACTCATTTTATTGGGTTCTTAACATTAATGTGTAATGAACGACAATAAATAAATTAAAATAAACTGAAGGGTAAAGTACATTTTATTAAGAACTAATTTTGTTATTTTTGTAATCTTTGTTGGTAGAAACTGAAAAAGGATAAATTTGTTAATTTTAAGATCTAAAGTTTGGCAACATTTTTCTAACTGTTTTTCATATTATCTCTTTTTATCGTTGTGAAAATGAATGAGGTCAGAAGGAGAAGGGAGTATAGTCCCTATTTACGGAGTGGCGAATTCAAATATTTCTTTTTTAACTACTTGTTTTAAGCTGACTAATTAAATGTGATAAGTTTATCATGGACATTAGGATTGTTGAGGACAAGGTCGAGGATTTAAAAATTAAAAGCATAATCCCTAGGATTCCATCATCAGATCCTGACCTGGTGAAAATGGGACCCTCTCGGGAAACCTATCAAAAAGAACAAAAATTTTGGAAATTATTTTACAAATGGCGGAGTGATCGGTGATCAAATAAAAAATAAAAAGCAAACATTTGGTGATGCAAAGATTCTAACTAGCGCCTCTAGTGTCAAAATTGTAAAACTCTCTTTTTCTTTTTTAAGGGGGGAAAATCATCGAGTGACTGCTCCCGCCTAGGTGAGTCGCAGTTTCAAAAAATATATTAAAAATAAATCTGATTCATGTGGTTTCTTGTAGATAAATATTGAAGTAAATTGCAAAATTAATCAAATGTTAAACTAATTATTCAATTGATATCCTTAACTCACTTCATTAGGTACACTCGAATTTAATCCTATATCCTTTATCTACCACTAAGCTCACATTTATTTAAATTCCTAATTCATTTACAATACGTTTATCTGATGCTCGAGCACCATTTATTTTTCTTAAGTGGGGAAAATCTTTAAATGACTGCTCCCGTCTGGGTGAGGCGGAAGGGAGTGTCAGACTTTTTCTGACTAATAAAAACCACCCCGTTCCTACTCCTGTTCTTCGAGTCGTAGCCCCGGTAACCCGTTGGGTTCTCCGCGGCTCCGTATCGTCATCAGCTCTATTGGGCCCCATCCGTGGTAGTCTGATGGCTCTTTGAGGCGCGCGCGGAACGTGACGCGCCGCATACTCGACTACCATAAGATGCACTAATTTCAATTAGTTAGGTCGTAGGCCAGAAGGAGTTATTCCAATATTAAACTTCACGGTATTGTTTTTTCTTTATATTGAGAGTAGGTACGTCAATATTCTACATTTTCAACATTTACATTCTCATTCTCAGCACAGTCTAATTTTATTCTTGTATTTTTATAATTTTGGAATGATTTAGATAAGTTACTACGTATCATTTCGGTATCAGGCCAAGGAATAAAAACTTTGAGTACTCAGCATGGGGCACATATTAGAACATGTCTGCCTATTTATACCAAACAAAACACCAATGGCTCTAAATGACATATTATTTTGTTTAATTTTTACCATTGTCAAAAGAACTCTGTCTCTCACAGATAACATTTTCAACAACTCGACAGTTAATTTCTTTACAGCTAATCTTTCCTCTTTCCATATAGGAAGAACATTTATTTGATTCATAATTTCGTCTTTTGGAAATAAATGAAAACTTTTTTCCCAAATCTCCGTAACTATTATATTGAGGAACGCAACTATATATATTGTGTTTCTGCTTTTAATCAAAACAGGTTTATGTATGTAATCGTTATTCATTTGATTATGTTTAATTTAAACATAATATCTTCAACTCGAAAGCAAAGTGTCGTTCTTAGACAACTTCTCAATTTCGCAGCTAGAGTGCGTGTGTGGATAATCTTTGCATCGCCAATAGTAGGTACCTTCCCTTTTTTTGATGTTGGTAAAAATGATCATGCGCATCAGCCAGTTGCCCAACCACTGCGCTCTCTACTGTGTATTTAAATTTCGAGATTGTTTTTTAATTTTTTTAACCAATCTCGTCATAATATTTTAATATGTACATTTTGTTTATAATAAGATGATAATAAGTATAATAGGTATTTAATTTAGGCAAGAAGTAATAACTGCCGTCGCTTTATGTGGTAGGTACTTATGATTATGGCTAATCAGAATACAAATATTTTATTTTGTATTTTCCCCAAAGCAAATGGGTTTAACCACGATTAATAAATATTATCTCAAACATCCGGAATTCATTTACCTGATGAAATGTCTGAGTTTGAGATGGGAGAGGGTGATGTTTCATGGAGGATCCGGTTAATGGTCGAACTGCTAGCTTATTCTGTAACTATCAAGTTTTAATTCGAAAGATCGAAGTGAACTCGATCATTGTCCGCCACGTCATTGGTTGTGAGAATAATCACGACCGATGACGGGCGACAATGCAATCGAGCTCACTTTGAAAGTTCGAATTTTGACAGTTGTAAAATAGCCTAACTGAACCGAAGATCCCCAACCCCGACTAAGGAAGCAGTGAAATCAACGAGTCAATATACTCAAGTGTATAGTTTGGGCTTCGATCAACAATAGCAACCGAAGAGTTTGGATTTGAATAATTTTAATAAATTTCGTATCTACATAATATGAGTTAAGTACTCGGTAAAGTGACTTAACATTTGCCCACATTAGCATATGAAATTAATAAGAGAGATTACGGTACTTTGTAAAGAATTAATATAAGAGTAGATCCACTAAAAATATCTCAATATTTTGTTTGTTTGTCTTTAAGACTGAGTAAATTTTTTCTAATCATATTATTCTTTGTTGGATAATCCGATATACAAGTATATATACGACATACAAGAGATCACCTGATTGTAAACAATCGGCGCCGTGCATAGACATTCGAAACACCAGAGTGAGGTTTGTTCGGGATTCGGGGATTGGGGTGATTGGGGAAGAGTAACTCACTCATACGGAAACAATGCAAGCGTTGTTTCATGTCAGTTTTCTATGAAGCCGTGATTTCAATCCGTGCCCCAATCGTGCCGAAGCATGGGTCTCCCACAGTTTTCAAATAGTACAGAAATAGTCGTTAATCGGCGTAATGTGTTCTTTCATTTTCTCCTATCCTATCACAAACCTTTACCTTCATATTATTTATTCCTCACACCATCGACACATGTTTACTTTGGTCATCCTCTTCTTTAAAATTAATTTTGTATTCTTCATGCCGTGCCACGTTTGTGTACCTAATTGAAATTAAATTAAGTACTCGATTTTAACGATGCAGCTACCTATTATAATATAAAAGTTATTCAATTGAAAAGTACTTAAGAAGTTCCCTACTTACGAGGTAAACGGGATTAACTTCAATCCGGGAATTAGATTATTTAATTAATTAGGGAAAACAAAGATTCATCATCGAATAAACAGTTCTCTACTTGTATTCTCTGTACTTAGTGAGATCCGATTTCAGTAATTCGAATTGAGTGATTCACTTTACATTTTATCTCAAACAAACTTCCTGGCAAAAGTCGTAGCTACTCACTAGGTAAGTGCTACGGAATTTTTTGCAAGCTTGAAATTTATAAATCTCTGCGGCCTAGGGGTTTCCCTAAGGTCTCAGTTGACGTTGAAATTAATCAGACAATATTTGTTAAGAATTACTCAGCATATCGAGCCAATACTTCGATGTCCTGAAGGACGCTGATATCGAGAGCTTGAAATACTTAGGTGGCTCATGCGAATCATTGTATAAAAGCAAGCGTTTGTTTGCGGTATTCAATGTCACAGGCTGGCAGCGTTGTACTCGTGCCCGGTTTTGGTGCGATAAATTAATTATTGCAGTTATTAAAAAATAAAATATAATATCGCTCGAACACTTTCGATTTAAGACACTGGTATCTAATAAAATAAAAAAATTAAAAAGTATATAAAAAGCTTTTTTCAAAAATGGAACGTTTTCGAAGTTGTGTTTTGTTGATTAGTGTATTGTTTGTTTTAAATATTGAAAAAAGTTATCAACACACGTGGGTGACTACTGATGAATGTAAGTTGTTTTTAATATATATTAACATTGACACCTTAACTCATTTAAAATGTCCTTGACATAAACATTGATTGATGTTTGACAATGCGTCTGATTATTTTATTTGTTTTCCCCTCGTCTTTGTTCATGATATGAATGTTGATCTATCGTTAATTTGGAGGGAACATCCGATTATACGTAGGTATTGTTTCGTGTCGATAATAATTTTCATGAATCTGTTAATAACATGCGTGTGTTTTTTATGATCAATTAAATAGTTTCACGTAGTTCAGAGTCAGTTTGAGAGTAATTTTTGTACACTAAACTTGTTTTTTAATAATAATAATTTACAGTTACGTGTTACTAACTGTAAACGTTATTGTTAGGCGTTGATTAAACAGTAAAAATGTGAAATTAATAATGTTTGTGAATGATGTGACTGCAATAATACTGATTTATCCTGTGTTTTATTTTCGTCCAGGTAAATAATATTAAATGGATGCGTAGCGTAATTATTGTTATCCTATCAGGTGATGTTATAGTTGTAGGTAAAGGTAGAAGTTTTTTGGATGGATGGATGGAAAGGATGTTACGATACGGAGGTATTAAATTCCTACTACCCTGGGTCCATAATATGACCATATATTTAAATATATATTATATGGTGCATGATGTATACTATAAATTACTTATGTCATTACTTATCCGTATGCCAGTTTTAGATAAAACTAATAATAATAGCAGTTATTCTAAAAATGGTTCATTTATCTCCGTATATCAGTAGTAGGGAGATAGGTATCGACCTAGACCTATAGTTAGGATCATAACATTTGGTTGTAAACCTACTTCGCCATATTTATGTAAGTACTTTTAAGTATCGATATCCCATATACTTAGGTACTAAAAATCATTGCTTCAGGTTTTACAGTCAGATATTAACATATCTAGTATATTTATAGGTATGACAATGACACATTTTATGTTTTTTGTCTATACTTTTGGCGGGAAAGTACGTAAGCCCCTACGTAGCTAGCTAGGTAGTCTAAGTACACTAAGTGGGTATAAAAACGAAATAAGAACCTAATTTTATCTGCAGTTACAATGACTCACATTACTGTTTCATTACTAATGAAAACTATAAACAAGAAGTGTCCGTTAATAAGGTATGTCGTTTAAATCGTAATGCCAATAGTGAGCGTAGGTAGATATTGTATGGCACTAATTTTATTCATGGCATGTCACGGTCTCATGATGCACTGTAGTATTGTGATAGACAGCGATTGTGTGAGAACACATTAATATTTACTCACTACTCGCAAACAACCACTAAGAAGGATTCAAATTGTAATTAACACTGGGTCACTATGGATATGCACACATCGTTAAAAAAGGAGGATATTATTGGGTCTTTACAAATCTTAAAATACAGTTTCTTCTTCACCTGTAGGTAAGGATTTTCCTCAAAACTGGGATAGGCTTTTGCAATATTCCATGCTGGTTCGATTTAGCGAGGGCGCGGACGTAAACTGCCTACTCGAAGACAAACTCGTACGATCGCATCGCGTGCTAAACCTGCCGTGCAACTGTCTACTTGCTAAGAAACTGTCCTTATTCAATACGTCTTCACGGCATGACTTGGTCGAGGTCAGGAAAATGTCGAGTCGTCAGCGTTGTCTTGGAAACTGCGCTCGTTTTGACCCAAGGGCGTATGGGAATGAAATCCGCACGCATAGGTTTTGATGCAAGGCGACTGTTACTACCCGGTTTTTTTAAGGGGGTAAAATCATCCAATTATTTCTCCTGCCTTTGGTGAGGTTACTTCACCGTACCGTAGCGTACGATGGGACGGTATAATACACACAGTGCCTGATTTTATTACATTCAGGATATTACATTTAATATGATAAAAATACCTACTGCTATCTAACAGAATCAAAGGAGAAACCTTTAAAAATAACGGATGAAAACAAACATAAATACTAAAAAGCCCTCCTTTTCCAAGGGAATTTACTCTTTTACGCCCTCTTTCAGCGGTTTTATAAATAAATCCTCATTAACTATTAAAAATCATACATAAAGCTACTTTAAAAAGATATTTACCTTTTAATTTTTAAATGTTCTGTATTTGCAGTGGAGAACCACATCAACCCTGAAGATCTTCTTGAATTTGCAAACATTAAACAGAGCTCCGAAGTAACCAAATTACACGATAGCAATGATGCAGTCGGATTTGCAGATGTAGTGGTAAGTTTATATTTTCTTATAAATAGAAAGAAATCAACTATGTAAATAAACATTGTTACATTTTATTTGGATATGAAAGAAAAAAGAGTTGGTGATGAGACGACGGATGCAAAGGTAGAATGGAAAAAGACAGGTGGCATTTGAAGTAACTTAGGGTAAGATTGAGTTAGAAAGTGTCTCTTTTTATTCGTAAACGAAAATTGCCTCCACAGGAAACTACAACTGGCCTTCCAGTGCCGGGCACAGTCGACTGTTTCGGCTTAGGCACACTATCACGGCAGATCGTGAGCCTCTTCAATATGAGACCAGATTCATCTGACGATGTTAATACGCACTTTTACTTCTCGTCGCGAACTATGCCTATGAGGATGCAGGTAAGCATTGATCATTGTTCATCCAACATTTAATAACTTCTATAAGTAAAAAAAGAAAATATGTTGAATTAATCCGAATGCGGTTTAACTTAATTTCAGGAGATGAGTTTTTACTTCAATATTGCTTCTTGCAGGTGTTTCCTGGTTCCCAATTCGGGCTCGAATGGGTCGACTTCAAACCGAATAGAAAGACGGTGATGATTATTCATGGTTTTATGAGTCACAGTAATGCATCTTGGGTCAATGACATGACTAAAGCGTTTCTGGAATGGGTATGTTTTTGACAAGGACTCCAGTTTGTTTTTGCAAGCTTATCTCGGTTACGAATATCAAAATATGTTCTATTTTGCGTATATTTTAGGCGGATGTGAACGTCATTGCGGTAGATTGGAGTGGTGGTGGGAACACTTGGAAGTATTGGAGGGCAGTGGCCAACACTAGGAGAGTGGGCTCTGATATTGTTGGGTAAGAACGTGTTAAAGATAATCGGATACGAAACAAATTAGAAATAAACTAGGTACTATGTACTTGTAGCAGGAGATTACTAAAGTCATCATGTTTTCAGATTCATGCGTAGAATGATGACAGAAACTGGGGTAAGAACGAAAGATATGCATCTAGTTGGACATAGTCTAGGAGCTCATATTGCGTCATATGTATCGTATCATTTGGGGAAAGTTGCACGAATTACAGGTCAGTACTGAATATAGTATCGCTTATTTGTTTAGTAAGACTCTGTTCTAGTTCATTAGAACTAGGCATGGATCTATGCCTATATTTTGTTTGTTTGTATTTCCCAGGATTGGATCCAGCTCAACCGTGTTTCTGGACAACCGACTCCACGGAACGTTTGGACCCTCAAGACGCGGACTTTGTAGACATTATACACACTAACGGCCGACTACTGTCGAGGATAGGTTTCGGCTTTCCTGATCCTAATGGTAAGTAACAATTTTATCGATTTAACGATATACCCTACCAAAAATGCACATTATAACTTTACTGAAGTTATAAGTTCCACATAATGGTTTTGGTTTACTGATTCTTTGTAGTGCGTGAATGACAATGTATAACTGACTTTTAATCCCACCTAATGCTGATTACCTTATCAGTATTTAGTACTTCAGAATTATTTTAATTTTCTGTTGTTCTCAGGTCACGCAGACTTTTATCCAAATGGTGGTATGAAGCAACCAGGTTGCTACAACGAAACCACCTCCATATGGTCTCGTCTTATTCCATTTTCATCGAGTAAGTCAAATTATTTTTTTTTAATTTTACGTAAATATAGTAGGTTATATTTGGTTGTAGTTTTTGACGTACTTATTTTTGTATTGTTTTCCATCAGGACTTCAGCAAGCAATATGCAGTCACGGCCGCGCATATCTACTCTTCACTGAATCTTTGATCAACCGTAACTGTACTTTTAGGGGACATAGATGGGACTTGACTTATGATGGGTAAGTTTAATCAACAATGAATTATTAGCTCTATCATCATCATCACCAGCTGGACTATGGAAATCCTCTACAAAGAGGGGGAGTTTGCCATTATCTTTACCTTTGGCAAGTGGAGATTGCAGTTTTTTTTTTTTTAAAAAACGTTCTCCCCATTTGGATTTTCTCCTGTGTCGTAGGTGCGTTTACATACATACAAGTTCACATGCACATCACACCCAGACCCGGAACAACAATCTGTGGATGACACAAAGAGTTGTTCCGTGCGGGAATCGAACCCGCGACACGTTGCGCGGCAGCCAGTTGCCCAGCCACCGCGCCAACCGTGCAGTCAGTTTAAAAGGAATAGGTTTATCAGAGAACGCTGAGATATATAATCACACGAGGCATCCACAGAAAGAGTAAGAAAAGCGACAAATGTATTCGAATCTGTCGTCATCATACGGTTTCTATTACAATAAATGGATTAGAACCAACCCAGACATCGTTACATCATTCCGAGCATCGGAGATCGCGCGACGATCTCCAGCCACCGTAAGTGCGAGCAAGGGTAGCTTATCGCCCGACCAGAACCAGACTCGTGCGTACGGCGCGTCGCGTTCTGCGAACGCCTCAAAGAACCATCAGACCACCACAGATGGGGCCAAGTAGGGCTGATGCCCGATACGGAGCTGCGGAAGGCCTAACGGGTTGCAGGGGCTCCGACTCGAAGAGTTTTAGTCAGTAAGAGCAGGAACGGGGTTTTAGTCAGTAAGAGTCTGACACTCGCCTAACCCAAGGCGGGAGAAGTCATTGGATGATATTCCCCCCTCAAAAATAGGATATCTTTACATTATTAGTGGCATTACAGGGTAAACGCCAGCTTGAAAGCTGCTTGCGACAGAGTTGGCTCATGTTCTGAGATGGGCATCAGAGCTGTCGGCGAGGGACTACTGCCACGCGCTACAGGAGCTTACTTCGTACTGACTACTGACAAGGATCCGTATTGCCGTAAGTTTTCAATAGATAATCACTCAAAGTCAAAAGTATATTAAACTGGTTTTTACCCGCGGCTTTGTCTGAATATTCCTGTTTTATACTATGGGAGAATAAATGAAAAACTCTATAGAGTTATGTTACACTAGCTACTTCCACGCGGTCTCACTCGCTGTGCTCGGCGTCTATTAATCGTAGCGTAATATTTTATAGCCTATAGCCTTCCTCGATCAACACAGAAAGAATTTTTCAAATCGGACCAGTAGTTTCGGAGGTCAGCGCGTTCAAACAAAAAAAACAAACCCTTCAGCTTTATAATATTAGTATAGATTAAAATACAGATTGAAACCCAGAAGAAGCTATGACAAAGAGAACAAAGAGAATTCCTTCATAAGCTAAAATTAATATAAAAAGTAGCTACACACACCACCATATAGGTATTCAATAAGTACACAATGTTTTATAGGGATTAATTTAAAATGATTATAATTAATTTAATTGTAGTTAGTAGTGGTACTCGCATTTATTATCTCCACACACTCATCAAGGGCATGGAATGAGTTCCGCTGCGTAAGCATCACGGTACGATGCTAATGTGTAGGTACTGTTTATATTGTTTCCTTTGATGTATTTATTTGTTTATATAGTATGTAGATTTTGTCATTTGCGTATGTTTGTTTGTGTCTTGCAATTATTGCATAGGACTTTCGACTTTACATCATGACGACAAATTTCCCATAATATAATTTCTTCATAAGCTAAGATAGTTTATCGTTTGATTTTAACGCGTTAGTCCAATCCCTATTATTATCAACACAAATAACAATTAGTTAATGTCGTATTTTCTAGGAAATTTATAATTTCTTTGTTTTTATAACATAATAGGTGTTTCGTCATTTAAATCACTAGTTTTTGCCTCAATTATGTACGTGCTCCTTACAGATTCTGATATATTAACCAATTCATCCTCTTTTAGCTACCGAATGGGAACGCCGGCACCCTCAACCAGAACTCCTGATAGATCTTCGCAAAGGTTTCCTTTTGGACCAGTTGAGGAAGACTACTTCGAAGGCAACTGAATCCGCCGTTTATGCAGATCCTATGGAAAGGGATCTGACCGTTCTCCCTCTTACTACCACCACACAAAAGAGCTGGTTCCAGAAGTGGTTTGGTAAATAAATTTTATCAGAATCAACGAACAAATATAACGAAGACTTGAAAGCCTTATTTCTTTAGGATACTGCTTTAGGATGCTCATACGACCAAGTGGACCAACAAAATGTACAGACGGTATCTCAAATGATGACAGCTTACTTGTGCAACTAACAGTTGGTCAACCAAATGAATCACATTAATAGCCTATAAGTGGCCACTACTGACAAAGGTCTCTCCTTACACGGAAAATGTTTGAGCATTAACCACCACGCTTGCTCAATGTGGGTTGCCGATTTCAAACTTATAATTAGAAATTATAAGCCCAGGTTTCCTCAAGATGTTTTCCTTCACCGTTTGTCAGTGGTGTCTAAACAATCTTAGAAAGTATATACATACTAGCAGCCCGTCCCGGCTTTGCACGGGGTAGACAGTTTTTTTTCAAAATGAAATGTAGCCTATGTCAAATTGCAAGAATGTAGCATTCTATTGGTGAAAGAATTTTTTAAATCGGCCCAGTACTTTTTGAGCCTATTCATTACAAACATACAAAAATAGGTACAAATCTTTCCTCTTTATAATATTAGTATAGATATAACTTAGATAAAGTCACATTAATACTTGCCAGGTTTCGAACCCGCTCGTGAATGAGAAGCGGGAGTCTTAAACCTTCGGGCAACCACGAGTCAATGTGAATACCAATAGTTTATTCGGTGTCTTCCTATAGACACCCTGTTTACGCGTTTGCGCACTTGCTCGTACGATAATAGTTATCCAAAGAAATAGGGACCTTAGATGCAGTTGAAATTGGGACTGAACAAATTATTATCATGTATGATTCTTTAATTTTATTTTTTTAGGGAGGAATGGTACTGACTACGTTATGTAAGTAGAGATTATGTCGATTGCTTTGTTGTAGATCAATGGTACCTATTTGTGGCTGTAATTAGTTGTAAACAAATAAAATATAAGTAAATGTTATATATTCAAAATCCTTTCTAGAGCTTGGTCGGTAAGTGTCTAAAAATTATTGTAGGATCTCGATGATTTTAATTTAATTTGTGTATCTTGTCGCTTGTCTAGTATGTGTCTAGATGTCTAGATGAGTAGGAATTAACTAGTTGGCTGTTTAGTACTTGCTATGTAGATTTAGTTATTAGTTTATAATAAGTTGCATTTGTCATTTTTAAATTTATTCTTATGTTATTTTAATAAAAGGTATCTACAACGAATAATAGTATTTTAATCTACTCACAATTTATCCAAGTACCCAATCAAAAGTCGTGTTGCACTACAAAATATTTAAGTACATACTTTAACTAATTAACAAATGTGTTTAACCATATCTCCATATAATTATTAACATAGCACGGAATCGTATCCTATTAAAAAGCTTTTAAACTTATTGTAGTGCTTTTTTAATCATAATATATTATTGCCTAGTTTTGTAAACAGGCAATAATTTAGTACTAAGTTCTTAGTTTGTAGTAATAAATCATAACTTAATGGCGATAGTAGTTTCAAAGTGAGGTGACACTTTATAGTACCTTACAAACGTTTTGTCACGAAAATGCGAGCGGTTGAAGTTGTTCGACGCGATAAAGAACCTCCTCCTTTAGTAAAATCGGTTAAAAAGAGGTTTATATTCTTTGGACGGAATAGTGGAGTACATGGTCTGCATTACTTGTTCGATGCTGATAGAAGTCTGCTGTCCAGGTATGAACAGCTTATTCTTTTATTATACATTTTTGATCTGTTAAGCGTAGAAGTTTTGTTCGATATCTTAACTGAAAAACTTCTCATCGTAATCAACTCACTATTTTATATCTATTACGTAGTCACTGCAGTGCTTAAACAAATAGGTGCCTATTATTTGGACGTAAATACCTATGCTATTTTGGCAAATAATGAATGAAATCTTATCTAAACACAATATTTAAGTAGCCTGGTTTAATATTGTGCATTATGTGGGCTTCCTTATCTGTAATAACAGATTAACATGATAAAAGAAACATAATGTCCAGGCAGGGAATCAGAAAAACTATTTTCTAAATTATTTTAGCTGTCCTCTCTAATTTAGTTCGCAATATTGTATATAAAAAATAATTAGAAAAGTCAAGGTTAACTGGTTACTAGTGGTTATCTATTAGACTGCAATTATCAAACTACTATTAATCGCCTTCTGTTCAGCAGACCGACCACAGATATATAAAATTATCTAATAAATTTAGGATATTCTGGCTAATCGTCCTGATAGCGTGTCTGGGCTGTCTCTACCTGATGATGCAGGATACAGGAGACCTCAGAGTGGAAGTGAACTTCACTCCTGACACTCTCTACCTAAATTGGACCACTACGTTTCCAGGAGTGACTGTGTGTGAGGAGTATTCTACTAAGTTGGCGTTAAGAAAATTTGCCAAATTGTTCCGTAAGTACGTGTGATCAGGTAAGGAGGAATAATTAGTACATGAGATAAAGAAATAACCATAACAAGTACCCGATCAAATAAAAGTGTCTAAAACCAACGAATAATGTTCAATAATAATTACCCTTTGACATAAGACAGCAGGTGGTATTTCAAAACGCATAGACATTATCACAGAACATATAAAGATGTTCTGTGGACATTATTATCTTTGTATAACAGCTATGTACATACCTGAGCGTACGGCGTGTCCCGTTCCGCGCGCCTCATGGAGCCATCAGACCACCACGGATGGGGCTCAGCAGGGCTGATGCCGGTTCGGAGCCGCGGAAAATTTAACGGGTTACCGGGGCTCCGGCTCGAAGTGCAGGAGTAGGAACGGGGTGGTTTTTAGTCAGTAAGAGTCTGACACTCCCTCCCGCCTCACCCACTATGTATCATATTATATATACGGTATTATATTTTATTATATTACAATAGGTAGATCTATAGAGTTTCAATAGTGGGTTACAATATGAATGATTCTCGAAAATAATTTTCATTCATCAGAATTTATGCAAGTAGGTCTAGGTTTATATTTACTTAATGACTGTCACCCTTGTCGTCATAACAGTTTAACCTTCAGTAATATATTTTGTAAGTATTTGATTATTGACCATCTTGACACAAATTAATCATTAATTACTTTGCGGTTTCTGTGTTAGTTCCCATTGCTGTGGATCTAATTAGTTCAAACAAAACGAACTGTGTTGATTCATAATAGCGTTCGCCATTATGATAATACGAGAGGTAAACAATAGAGTAGGTAGAAACCTAAATATAGACTGTACTCTTTAGGACTGGAATTAAGTCTTCTAGAAATAAATCGAGTTGTACTTAATAGTATCTAAACAAATAAAAATATTCAGTTACGAACCATTAAATATAACATTTGTGTTAAGAGTTCAACGGATTTTATATGGACATTTTTATTATAAAACCTAGGTTTGTTATATCGATTTATGAATTCCAGGCTCGCTAGAAAAATACAATATGACTGTGCAAATAAAGTTAAAGGCAACATTTCGTGACTAAACATTTTGAACGAATGAAATGGATAACAATTGAAATGTTTAGCTAGTTGAGTTTTGTTTTTCTGTTTTGAATTAAAAAGCATACGTTTTACAAATTGCCTCGTGTTCATGGATCTGTACCATCAATTTATTACTTAGGTACTAACTTTTGCCTGGGACGTACCTACGCACAAACAGAAGATATCGTTTTTTTTTCAATCCCGCGGGAGTTTCGAGAAACCTGTCTTCGTGTTCCATAAACTCCCTAAGAAACTGCGTCTTTTGGGCTTAGACTGAAATGTTGTTTGTGCCTTGTGCATACACTAGAAGTCAAATTACAGTTTCCTACACCCAGTATCAGTTGTGTGTTGTTTTTCAGTTAGTCATTCAGTAATGGAGAAAAATATAATAAATAATTGATTTCAGCTGATCTCCTAAGCCCTTTGGACTACGATTTCCGTTGGTATCTGACGGATACTCTGTTTGGACGTGGTCAGTGCTCTCACGCTACCTGTATACCTTGTGGTTCGTCCGTAGCATGTGACGTGCCGTGGAGAACAATCATTGAACGGGTAAGTATTTTAGGATAGGGATATTGAAAACTGATATTATTATTGAGTAGTTACTAACAGAAAGCATTAAAAATAAACCTCACTCAAAACAAAACCATATCAGAACAATGAAAAATCAATATTAAAAAGAAGGGGTATGAATGGACTGAGACTAAAACCAAAAACTGTGACACTGTAGTATATGATCATAACCATGGAATCTAGCCAAACTGATTCCGATAGGTACTAAGGCTTAGTAACTAAGCCACAGATAAAGCAACTATAAGAATAATAATGTCTGAGTAAAACTAAACTTCAGAACCTACGTAAGATCAACAAAAGTAAAAGTTGTAAAGGTTATGTAGTGACTAAATGACTAGTTTTGTAGTTGTTTTTCTAAGTTACTTACTTATTCCTTTTAAATAGATATTGTAGCATTGTGTTTTAACATAAAGGCAGTATTATTCAGACTGGTCCTTATAGTTCCTAGTGAGTCATTTGTAAGAGCAGGAAGTATAAGTTATTTGACTTTGAGTTCATGGAAATGATTTGTGGTGGGGCTTTACGACACAGAGATTTTTTCCCTTGTTTTTTTAATCAATCTTTGTTTTCTCGGGGAAATAAAAATCATTAAAAATCTGCATATTTGTTTTTGTTACCTATTATATCCTTAAACTGTCCAACACCAAGCGGTCACCGGTGACCGCAACCTATTGTTCTATAATTGTGTCTACAAAGACGGTAAAGACGGTACTCGACGAGTTAAATCCATATAATATAAACAAAACACAAAATCTTCGAGCAACTAGTTGATTGAAGCAGAAAACAGGTAGAAACCACAAACCTTAAAATTTCGTAGGACTCTATTCATAACTGACGCTTCAGGTTCACAAAAGCTGTCAGGAAATGTTGTCCGAGTGTCGGTATAACGATGTGGTGTTTCCATGTTGCGATTATTTCCGTGAAGTAGACTCGGAACACGGGCCTTGCTTCTCCTTCAACACTCTACAGCACAAGTGAGTAATCTAATCTTTGTTATGATGATAAGATCGTCGTGTGGACTGATACGGACGGACATAATTACGGATTCTTATCTGACTTATATTTTTAGGGGAGAAAACAGCTTGTTTGAGTTGAATAGGACCACTGGACCCGGAGTGTTGATGTTTCGCTTGCTGTCTGATGCTGAAGTAAGATCTCTTTATATTTTTCCTTGTAGGAAAAAAGGGTATTCTAATAAAGTGATTTTCATGTTATTTGGTTATAATTTCTTCTAGATATCCATACACAGTCCCGAAGAGTTGTCAACGTACTTTTTAGATGGAAAGTTAAAAGAAATAGTTCACACCTTCATAGAGAATCATGTGTCCTTTTTGTTCTCCGTTGTGGAGATAGTCAACGGTGAACAGTTGCGGGCCGAGCCTATTGAAGTGAGGCAATGCCGGTATTTGCATGAAATTCCTGATGATCCTCTACATACTTATCCGGTAATAATCAAATCTGCATGAAGATATTATCCTGTTAACATCATTATCGAGTTGATAGACAAGTAAACAAATAGACAAGATTTCTTTTTGCCTAAAGTGGTTTGAAAGCTATTATTATTTGTACTTCTCCAGGTGTACTCTTACGGAGCCTGTCGTTTAGCAGAGACAACAAAAGAGTTCTATCAGCAATGTGGTTGTGTACACCCTGTCCGCGATCTTACATGTGAGTACCAATCACTGTCACCCAGACCCGTAAAGGCAAAACCTATAAATGTATAGATAAGAAAGTGAACAGAGAGTGTAAGCGCCTGTCAAATTTTAAAACATTTAATTACTTTAGCGTACATATTGATAATAGAATAAGTTTAGGGGCTGCTATAGTGATAAATATACACATGATGTACTCAACTAATAATAGCGTGGGTTTTACATATAATTTCGGTGATTAAAACATTATACTTTTTCAGATAAAAATAGTTATTGCAATTATTCTGGAATTACCTGTTGGAATTTATATGAAGGTAAGTATCTATAAATGGTTTTATAATATGGATAGAAGAAAAACCTATGAAATAGATTTAATTGTTTATTAAACTTTTAGGTCAAAAGGAAAAAATTGGTGCAGAAAAAATAACAAAAGACAACTGTTTGCCATCTTGCGTAGAAAGTGAACTTAAAACGATCCATTATTCTAAGTAAGTTTAATCATTTGCAATTATTTTATGTTATTTTAAGAATAGTAAAGTTTTATTTATTTCTCGTAGGAGATGGGAAAAAGATGAAGACACTGTAGGTACACTTGTGGAGGTCAAAATGGCATCATTACCAACATTACGATATCAAAGGAACTTGCTGCGGGACCAATTGGATTTAGTTGGTAAGTTCCATTATTTCAAAGTAAACTCTTTTTTTTATAAAATTTAAGTTATATTTAAACTTTTATGTGTAATCATTAACATGTAAAGTCAACTGTTGAGATTAGAAAACCTAATATTATTTCTCGACGACACTCGGAGTATAACTGAAAAAGTTGTATGAAAACAAAAATTATGATACAAAGGATATGATGTTATGTGTCACCGAAATAAAAAAGTTATTGGTATAACTTTTCCATAAGACTGATTAAATTACTATTTGTATGTGAAGAAGTCGAACATTATCATGTTTTTATAATAACTATCGTGAGACATACTAAATTAACTAAAATCGCGGGTTACTCATGTGAATATACTGAGAAAAGCTCTACTAGTTTCGAACCACAGAAGGGTTCTTCCTCATGAGCAGCGTGCGCGACGTCACCGCGACCGCGCACGCTGCTTTTCTCAGAATACCTTTTTTTTTCAATTTTCTCAGTGTACCTGAGTAACCCGCGAATTTAGTTAACATTATCATGTGTTATTTCAGTGGCAGTCGGTGGTATAGGCGGGCTGTTTTTCAGCGCATCTGTCCTGAGTTTGTTGGAAGTCTTTTATTTAATCTTTCGACCTATGTACTAACGATTAACAAAATAAACAAATCGACTTTAACCTAGTTTTATTTCTATGTATAATAATTTTCACATAGCTCCAGAATTGTGACTACAATATGGGAACCCATCGTTATAGCAACGAGTAGTGTTATATCGATAAGCAAAACGTAAGCGATTGGTTTCGAGCAACTTATTAAAGTGTGGACAAAATTATTTTATTTGAGTGGTATTTAGTATAGTAATTTAGTAGCCATGGGTAATACTGAGAGCAATGTCACGAGTGGTGTTAAGAAACAAGCTGGTACATCCCAGCAGAAGATGTATAAACTTGTTGATATTAAAGGTATGTAATGATCTAGAACTTTATTGTCATTTTCATAATCACCTTATTCCGTCAATTAATCAGTCCAATAGACCTCTCAAATAACATTCTACACTTTGATCTTCAGTTCTTGGTATTCAACTGCTGCCAGTCTTGCAGATATCGTTAGTCTTCCTAGCTGTAAACTGCTATAATAAATTACTATTGCATCATGATATATTTATTCATTTCAACTAAACAATATATTTTGTATTCAATGTTGCACAAAAGTATGGACTAATTATAATTAAAATGAAAATTTTAATAAATAGATACAACTTAAGATACAAAAAGATAAAAATTAAATAAAAAATAACATAACATCACGCCTTTTATTCCCGAAGAGGTAGGCAGAGGTGCACATTACGGCACTTAATGCTACTGTACAATGGAACACCCACTTTTCACTAGTTATGTTTAGAGTCCCATGTAATAGGGGGTGAGCCTATTGCCATACACCGGGCACAATTCCAGTCCCCGTGCTACTACTAAGATTTTTTTTTAAAGTCCAGTAGTACTTTGCCCGGACCGGGAATCGAACGCGAGACCACTTGCCCGGTAGTCGCACTTGCGACCACTCGGCCAACGAGGAAGTAAAAAATTAAATAAAAGAAAACTAAAAATAGCTATTTCTAGTTTTCTTCGAAAAATTCGTTTTCTTTATGTAATATTTTTTCAGGTGGTGGTCTTTTAGTGGACATGATGAAGAGAGCTCTCCAAAACAAACAGTATGCAGAGATAGACCATGCTATAAAGACGAAGGTGGAACCGTTTTTGTACAATAAGGGCAAAGGACGATATATACCCATATCCCACCTCGTGCTATTGAGGAATAAGGAGAGGTCTAGACATAAATTGGTAATGGAAACATTTACACTCTCATAAGTTTTTCTTTTTTGTAAAAAAAAACTCTAGTATTGTTATAGAGACTATGAGTTCTAGATTTAATTATTGTTATTTTTAAAATAAATAACGTTTGTTATTCCATTACAATAGTAATGTACCTATGTCAATTAGAGGCGACAGTGTTGGTATGGGTATATTTACATTATAATTTCATTTTAATTTTCAGTTACCTCCTTTGAGAGGAATGGAAAACCCAGATGAAGAATTCGATGTGGAAAAAGATTGGCCCTTGGTCACTCAAGAAGAGTATGATGCTAACCCATCTGGATACAGGGAATTATGTTGGGACCTCAAAGTATGCATCTAATAAAATTGTCTAAATTTAAAATGTAACGAGATTTTCCCACAAAAGCAAAACAGTTCTAGAAATTGTTGTAGATATAAAGAACAGATTGACTTCTATATAATCTACTGGTTTGTCAATAGGAACGAGGGGCTGTAGGTGAAACCATTCTCCATTTGTGTTTATTGAACGCCTCCTCACTGTTAGCTAACCTTGCCAAGAGACTCCTGCGGTTCTATCCTAAACTCATTAACGATGTTTATATGGGAGACGAATACTACGGTAAGTTCAAGGTTTGGAAACTATTCTAAAAAAATTAACAATACGTAAAATAAATTTGATGTTAATAGCTCGTAATGTGTAGCCGTAGCGCGTAGCTCGTAGTCCGTAGGTCGTAGCGCGTAGTTCGTAGTGCATGGGGCGTAGCGCGTAGAAAATAGTGCGTAAGTTGTCGCACGGTTGTCGCGTATCTTAAAGCGTGTAGTTCGGAGATTGTAGTGCTTAGATCGTAGGAGGTAACCCATAGCTATGCACTACGAGCTATACAACCTCGTAGTGCGTAGTTCGTAGCGCGTAGCTCGTTGTGCGTAGGTCATAGCGTGTTGCAGCATTTTCCTGTTATAAATATTAATCTCGAAGGCGTGCAAACCGTTGAGTCAACTGCAAATCTTCATCTTTAAAGTTATTGGTTTGAACATTTGACTGAAACTATAATATAATAACAGACTAATTCAATAAAAACAGAACGGCATTTACTTTGACAAGATGTAGAGTTAGTAAACTCTTTCGTTGGGTATGCTGCTACGGTCTACGAACTACACACTACGAGCTACGGTTGGAGTGTTTAGCGTTAAAAATTAGGGCTTATTATAGACTTAGGATTAAGGATGAACAGTTAGAATTTTAGCATAACGTTAAATAAAATCGTGAGTTCGGATAATTTGAAAGTATAATAAATAAAAACGCAATACACATAACACACTCTCTTCTCGAAATTAAAAAAAATGGCGTCAAACCGTCTGCCAACGTCCGCATCATTTCAATACATATTCCCCAATATAAGATTCATTACTTCTGAATCAGGCAAAAACTCACGTACGAAATCGATTTGTACTCAAACAGTGCTTACATTAGAAATATCGTGCTCGTCTATGTTTTGGTAATGACTGGACATTTCATAAGTTCTTTTTTGTTTAGATAATCTTTTGTTAATGTAATATGAGACAAGTTCTCTCTGAAAAACCAGAACCTATTGAATCATCATTACCTTAATCAGGTGATAGTGTGCCATAAATATCGGTTACAAAATAGTGGTAGTTAATTTATTAACTTTAACTAAAACTAAAGATATAACGAACCTGTAAAACGTTTATTAATTGTTTCGCTAAAATTAATTATCTCGAAGTTATTTCATAATATCGTGTAACACAATCTGATAGAAGGCGTGATAACGTCCATCAAAGGGTAAAATTAATCTGACAGTGATTTAGTGCTGGCATCCCTTTCATTTATTACCAAGTGGTTGGTAATAGCTATTAATATAATACCTATTATCTCTACTCAGCTAAGTTATCCTGTGAATTTGTAAATTAGCTATAATGCTCTGCTTCTAATATTGAGCTAATGTCAAATACCGAGACAATTTTCCTAGAACTACAGTAATATGAAATAATAATCAACTGAAATCATAGCAATGAGTTGATATATTGTAAATTCCATAACATCACGCCTTTTTATCCCCGAAGGGGTAGGCAGAGGTGCACATTATGACACTTAATGCCACTGTACAATGTAACACCCTCTTTTAACTATTAATGTTATGAGTGCCATGTAATAGGGGGTGAGCCTATTGCCATATACCGGGCTCAATTCCAGACTACGTGTTACTACTGACATTTTTAAAAACCCAGTAATACTTTGCCCGACCCGGTAATCGAACCCGAGACCCCTTGCCCGACCACTCGGCCAACGAGGCAGTCAGCAGGCAGATGAGAGCAGTATTGTAATTACATGAAGATTTTTCTAATTCAACAGGTAATGGCCACATTTTTATAGTTTTTTGTTTAATTTACTAATACTTGTAGGAGAAAGTGTACTTCATATAACTATAGTAAACGAAGATCCGACGATGGTGAAGTTCCTTCTAGACGCTGGAGCAAACTATCATGAACGATGTTATGGGAACTTCATGTGTCCTGAGGATCAGAAGGCATCACGCAATGACTCCTTTGACCATGAGTGGGTTAATGTTCAGCCGGAGACTAATTATAATGGGTAAATTTTACTATAATATGTATGCGAAAATCTACGTATACCGAATTGCAGTTTAATTATTATTATCCATGATTAAAGGCATTCAAGTCAACCGTATTGTTACAGTTACGTATACTGGGGCGAGTATCCTCTAAGTTTTGCAGCGTGTCTAGGCCAGGAGGAATGCTATCGGCTTATCCTTGCACGAGGTGCCGATCCTGATAAGCAAGATACTAATGGCAACACCGTGTTGCATATGCTCGTTATTTATGAAAAGATGGTTAGTATGAAAAACCTTATATGCACATAATATGAAAAAAAGAAAGCTATCCCGAACAGAGAACGCGAGACGATCTCCGGCCACCGTAAGCGCGGGCCTGCGGACGGTGAGCATAGGTGCCTCGCCGCCCGACCAGAACCAGACCCGAGCGTAAGGCGCGTCGCGTTCCGCGCGCCCCTCCAGGAGCCATCAGACCACCACGGATGGGGCCCAACAGGGCTGATGGCGATTCGGCGTCGCGGAGAAGTAACGGGGTGGTTTTTTATCAGTAAGCGTCTAACAATCCCTTCCGCCTCACCCAGGCGGGAGTAGTCATTCGATGATTTTCCCCCCTTGAAAAAAAAAACCCGAATAGAGAGAACGTTAGATAATCTTCTTTGCAGGAAACCTTTGACATGGCCTTTGAAGTGGGAGCTTCTCTAAACATTCGAAATGTGCTGAACCTGACTCCTCTGACTCTTGCTGCCAAGCTGGCTCGCACTGAGATGTTCTTCCACATCCTCAACATAGAGCGTGAGATCTATTGGCAGATTGGTGCTACGACTTGCGCTGCCTATCCTCTGGGACAGGTCGACACCATTGACACGGAAACTGGGTGTATTTGTAAAGATTCTGCATTGAATTTGGTGGTATTTGGTGTAAGTAGATTAATAGCTAGAATACACGCCGTGTGAAACATTGATAAATCTGATATAAATGTAATTTTTCTTTCATATTCTCTAGGAAAAAGACGAACACTTGGGTCTCCTAGAAGGAATGTTAATTGACCTTCTAAAGACAAAATGGAATACTTTTGTCAAGTTCCGATTCTACCGGCAGTTCATATTGTTTTCTTGTTACTTCCTAATATCTTTGGTGTGCTTCACATTGAGACCTGGCCCACCTGATAGGGCACTGAATTCTACTGCATTGAACGCTACAGTTGGACCCCTCAATGATACTGATCTGGTGATAGAAGTAGGTAAGTTAGTCAGAAATCGCCTGTAACTTGGCTTGCTTTTAAAAAATGTGGTAAACTCGTGATTATTTAAACATCAGATAATCCATTAATAATAGTATAGTAATAATCACAAGATAAATAAGTATCGATTATGTAGGTATTTCGGCTGTATATATATATTGCATTTAAAGCCAAATTAGCCAAGGCTAGGTTGTTTGCATAAAGATTTTATCTTATAGAGATCTTTAAAAAACAACAATTGGTGAAAACAATAACATTTCAGACCGCAACTTCTCATTCAGATACCTGATTTTATTACCTCCATAATATTATGCAATGATCACCATAATCCGCGTTTTCATAAAGACGAAGGTTTAGGTTTATTGCTATAATAAATGATCGGACCTTTAACCTTTCATTTTCGAAAACCACAAAACACAATCGTTTTGTTGTCACTTTCACCTTTCGATGCTTTATTATTTGAGGAGGCTTAAGTTTAGCTGTATTTATATAACGCGCGCGCTGAATTAATTTATCTGATAATGTCAAAGGGCCAAGTTGAAGCATCGGATAAAGGTGCCGAACGGTTATCGATCTCGTTTCTCGTAATCATGAGAACTTGCTCCTATTTTGTAATACCTCGTAAAATGTTAAACGTTGCGAAATGAACACCAAACTTATATCGCAAAGAATATAACTATCTACTTCACTACATCCCATTCCTTTTAATACTATTACTACTATTCACATTTCCCAGTCACAAGTCTATATTGTATTGCAGAAAACTGTACAATACCGCTGAATGGCTCGGAATTTGATCCCGGAGCCGTGGAGATTATGAATGGAAGCAAACCCGATGGACCGCAGTGCGCTCGTTTCAAGAGTCACTCCAAGGAAAAGGATAAAGATAAACGTAATATTTTATTCTTTCTATAAGCAGCTTTTGTTAAAAGAGTTTCAAGATGAAGTAGCATTTTTCTGAATAAATTCTTACTTATGTACATTGGGATTATGAAGGGCCTTAGTCAAAGGGTTGTTTTATATGTTTTAGGGCCTCGAGAGTCGGATATGGAAGGTTGGTGGGAGGATCTTACTGAAGATTGTAGACTAATGAACTTTGAGTCTTGGCAAGCTAAGGTAACAGCCTTTGATATATGTTTTTGATACATTATCGTTATTCTAGTGTTATTTTAAGCTTAAACACATCAAAGGAAATGTTTGCTTCAGGTTAGAATATCAGCAGAACTTCTGTTATGGGTGGGAGCTCTAGCATACGTGGGGGCCGCTCTGAGAGAAGCACGGTTTCTGGGACTTAAAATGTTTATTGAAAATCTTAGCACGGTTCCATCGCGGTAAGTAAATAGGATAATGTGGAAATTTGAAACCAAAGAATCTTATATGCAAAATGTTTTTAATTCGTTAAAATCATCTTAGCTCACAACTTAGTAGTAACAAAATAATAATTGATTGGTATTCCAGCGTTATGTTCCTTCTGTCCTGTATTCTGATGCTCGTGTTACCGACATTGCGACTATGGTGCGCTGATGAAGAAGAAGACCATCTAGCCGTTATAATTATGCTCACCACTGCACCATACTTCCTGTTCTTTTGCAGGTGATATAAAGTTTAATCTTATTAGCCTAAGAATTTGTAAGATAATTATTGGTGACATTATGCAAAGTATGTTTTGTAGGAAGAAAGTATGTTTAATCGTTTATAGTTACTTCACAGAGGCTTCAAAACTGTCGGTCCATTCGTAGTAATGATATACAGAATGGTGATGGGTGATCTACTTCGATTTGTCTGCATTTATCTGGTCTTTGTCATGGGGTTCTCGCAAGGTAAGTAATTAAGTATCAATTCACCCTATCTTATTCACTCACTGTGCTAATCCACACATATTACCTAATATGAATCTTTTAGTTTCTTTATGATTGATGAGGACGGTGATTAATAGATTTTTGCAATTGTCATTCTTTGTTCACTTCATTCATCACAATAGAAGTTTACAAATCCTAGACTGTCACCATTTTGGTTACTAACTTTTTAGTAATTATGAAGCTGACGTCACATCTGACCGACACACGTGACCAAGTTATTCTGTTTCTTCTTTTTTTTAGCGTATTACATAATATTTCTATCGTTTGACAATCCAAATACCCCGGAAGGTGTGGACGACTCGGTGTCGAACCCCATGCCGTCTCCCATGGAGAGCATCATGGCCATGTTCCTCATGTCGCTCACCTCCTTCTCCGATTATTATGGTGCCTTCGACAGGACTGATCACGAGATCGAGGCTAAGGTATGGTAATAAAGTTGACCTTTATAGTATAACATATTATTATGTCGATAGAAAGGTTAGCGTCTAAATCGTACGACAACGGTAAGCCATTAAGATAAGTAAAACAGAATAGATTGTAATTGTATTTATTAAAAGGAAGTAAGTAGACAGGGCAGGTCATGAACTATCAAACATAACATAAAGCGATATGTATGTACAGGTATTGTAGTCAACATAATATGTATGTATTTGTCGCCAATAATCATACAATGATGTAAACATTCATAGTAATGCATAGGCTAAAGATATAATCAATCTAAGTGTTAAGTATCTAGTTTTTGCTATTCTTTGATCTTCATAATAATCAAAATTAAATATCAACCAACTTTTTGCTTAAAACTTTCGTTCGAGAACACTAGATCATTGAGACAAAGCATCTAAGTATGTAAATCATTTAGCATTATTTATCATCATTTAGAAGATATTGGACAATCTTACTTGATAAACGACATGCATGGAATCCTATGAAATCTTACAAAAACCATGTTGCTTTTATTAACATTGAAGTGTATGTCGCAATGTGACACATTCTAAACAGAATCTGTAATCATCCTTGATCCCTTTCCTCATAGTAATGTTTCGGTAGTATTTATTTCTACGCAATATTATGTATGATTTTCACACACATTTCGAAATGTTAAACTGTGACACGGACCCTATGGTAAATACTGGCTCGCTACTTACCAAACGGTAGCTTTGAAATGACAAAGCCTTGTTCACAAATGCTGTTAATAATTTAATGTAATGTTCCGTAAGAAAATCAAACATTCCATAAATGTTGATTAACATTCAAGGTGGCGTTACTTAATCGATATTATTTACTTTATTGGATGGTCATATATTAACACACTTAAAAACGTTTATAGGCATAACTATTAATAATTTACTAATCCTCTCTTAATTCTGACTAAGTTGGGTGTCGCGATCTTGTTGTAAAAAGAGAATTATTCATAAAACTTGTCAGCTTTCCCTTTCGGAGAATGTACTACGCCTATAGATGATGTGTATGACTATTGTCACTCCCATAGTTGAAAACTACATGGTCATCAAGTATTAGCGTCATCCGGTACAGTTAGTATCGAGGTTACAGCACTCACATAGATGTTCTCCCGTAGCGTTATGTCAACTAAAGGTTACATGCGACGCCCCTCGTGTTTGGTTAGCATCGACACTGACGAGTTATGACACTTTGTGCTAATTCCAACTCGCAGAATAGATTACACTCTATTTAGTTAGACATTTCAAAGAATATTAATGACTCAAAGTGTCTATTCACATTTGTGAGGTAACTTATTTACAAAAAGGCTGCCTAGACTCTGTGGAGTCATTAAGTAAGACATAATGATGTAGTTAGAATAAAATGTTTTATTCATTTTCAGACACAAATATAAGCCTAACTAATTTACATGGACAGCATGATTTTAATTCGATGTTAGAAACAGTCTCAATAACTGCAGTCTAATACAATTTTAATGGAACGTGTTTTGACTACTTAAATATGTTTATAAATTCCGTGTTAACTAATCGGATATTAATGCAATTAAGAGGTTCAAAATTACTTAAAATATATAATAACATAAAGAAACCAGTTTTAACGAATTGCGACACCATTATTTACAGTTGCTGTTCGTGGTGTACATGATAATAGTGGCGATATTGCTGGTGAACATGTTGATCGCCATGATGGGGAACACGTACCAGAAGATTGCGGAGACCAGGAACGAGTGGCAGCGCCAGTGGGCGAGAATTGTATTGGTGGTGGAGCGAGGGGTGCCGCCGGCGCAGCGGCTTAAGAACTTATTAACTTATAGCCAGCCCATGGCCAATGGAAAACGAGCTCTCGTGCTGAGAATTAATCAGAAGGTACACAATAAGTTAAGATACAGACATCGTCAAACAACACCTGCCTATACAAATTTTCAAAATTTTAGTTCACGTAACGTTTCAAAAATATTTCAACACATTCTATTTAAACATACTTATAAAAAATCACACCTTCACTTTCACATATTACTTTAGAGAAGTATTCAAATAGATACTAATTAAGCCAGATGGGGTTGTTTCAAACAGGAAAATGATATCTGTTTTAGTATCGTATGTTATAGGAAAATCTTATAAATGCTATGCATTTATGCTAACAGAAAAGAAATACAATAAGGAGATAGAACATTAACAATGACGCAACAATAAAATAGAAACTATAATTGATACTATTCTAACTGATTTTTTTAAGGATGAAGACAAAGAAGAAATGAAAGAAATCTTGGAGATGAAACGCACGCACGAGCGTATAGTGGCGAAGCGCAAACAGCGCGAGGCACAGCTCGCGGCCGGCAAAGGACATCTGCCACCCACGCCGGCTAGAGACTACCCTATTACGAAATAAGTAATATTATGTATGTACATACGTTGCTGTTCACTTTACATAATTACAACATTTTAGTTTAGATAAATTCATGTATAATTTTACGGAAGCTTTGTTGCCATGCTCGATTGTTCTAATGTTATTGTTGGTAGATTTATTGAATTTGTAATTATATAGATCTTGATCTTGATATAGAGAAAAGAAGCTTAGGCTCCAAATAGACAATCATATGTTATAAATGTTCAATAAAAAAATGGTTGTTTCAAACAATTGGGTATTGAACAATAATTAATAAAATAATCTTAAGCACAAGAGGTTGAATGCAAATAAAAGTATGCCAGGTTGTGTGGGTCAGGTCAAATCACGTGTGACCGGTGTAACACAGCTATCCATCATTACAAGAGCTTGAAGTGTTAATCATTCACACAACAGCTACTTCGACAAGTATTTAAATTATTCTATTACTTAAGTACAGATATTATGTATTCATGATAAATTGTTATTAATTCATTAAATGCCACTTCGCCTAGGGATTACGTTGATATTAAAAACTGTCTAAGCCTCCGGCATTCTTTTTCATCCGTAATGACTAAGTTTTGGCATTTCTTGTGTGATTTACTTTTCTGAATCAACTTGATTTTCACAGTCGATTTATTTATTTCTCATCTAATGATAGATTTAACATAGACTTGACTTTCTAAAGGGTTAGTTCAATGTGATAAAGGGTAAGCTTATTGCCATATACCGATTTCTGTTCCGATATTAGATTCGACCTCAAAGAAGTGTCAAATTGATTTTCAATGCTCAATGAATATAGTAAGTTAAATACAAACAGAGACTATCCAGCTAATAGATTTTTGGTTTCACACGAATTAACCGCAAAATAAATAACTAAATACCGATTACCACTAAGCTTGTTAAGACCTATGTATGCGAGAAGTGCCGAGAAACTAAGAATTACAACAAGAACGCCTACACTCCTTTGTTGTAGTTTTAACTCTATTATGAAAATTCATAATGTTAAATTATCAACGATTTGACGATTTGTATTCTAATAAAAATACAAATGACGCGGGGGCGGAGACAAATGGACATTTTAAAGTTTATTTTCACTGAGAAAATAAAATGACTATTCTCTTAGGCATACAGTAAGTTATTTGTTATTTTATCTAAGAATGCGATGATTGTAGAGAAGAAGGTACTAAATTGTTAGATAAAACAGAGGTGCGAAATGACGCAGCCGACTTTTCTCTGTTACCTCATTGTTTGAGTACCGTACCTCGGTACCTCTAAATGGGCCAGCCACCGCATCACCGCACGGCTCGAGTGGTATTAGCCAAATACATGATGCCATTTTACCTTATTTTTGTTTACTTCCAATACGTTACGAAATAAGGTACCTTTTTGACTAATTATGGAAACTCGGAAATTGTAAACAATTTGTTAATTGAATAAATATTGCACAATGTCTCTCATTATTGTTTGCAGATCGAAGAAGAGGGAAAATGTTTTTGTGATTTTATGCTTAACCGATTATTTACATTGAGAAGTAAGTACGATACATACTTAACAACGTATAAACGTACCATTTTCATAAACAAAATGTTCAGCTATTGTTCACAACATATGAATAAGTTTTGCTCACATTGAATAAGTACTATGGTCATTGACTTCTCACACATTTACCGGTGTAATTCAAATTAACCGATCGATATACTACTTAGATCTTACCGATTCGCGTGACAGTCAAAAGTTTGTGTGTTTAACTACTTATTGTGATGAGACCACTTCATTGCTGTCTGTCTATTTGGCTAACAGATTTAAATTATGCACATACATTATACGCGGCGGTATCACAACTATTTACTTGTTGTGGTCTATCATCCACCGGTAGATAAACCTTGGCAATTTTGTCTATTTTAAAAGTTGCATTATTGTACATAAGTGTGAATAAATGCTGTTTGATTTATTTCTTCACTTTGTCGACTAATGTCCATTGATGCAGTACTGGAGGCAATTTGAAGGTCATTACTAAGCTTGTTTAGTCGCATAATCGGAAGATACACGATAATTATTCCGAAATATTGTCTAGGAGTGGCTCTCGTCGGATGATCGTGTCACTCAATCAAAGATTCATTCATCTTTATAATACCTACTACTCCTTACTATGTCATTATACATCTTTAGAAAGTTTCGCGATCGCTATACAAACAAAACTTTTGTCACGGTTTTGAGTGGCAGTATCAAAATTGTTTTATTAGAATTAAAGTAGGCTGTATCGACTAATGCAATAATTGTGCTGAATAGTTCTATGGGCTATCAGTAACTCGTTGTAATTAGGAGCTATTGTGGGGTTAACTAATTGAGCTGTTGCTGCCTTCCATTTACTGACGACACTATTGTATTAGAAGCCGTTACGTCTGACATACTGATATTCGGTAATTAGCCAAGTATTTATGTCTCAACATAGCTTATTTATATACATTAATACATAATTATATATTTTCTATGCAAAATAGTGTAAGAAAGACCTTTGACACATGAATTTATTACGTGTACGGTGTACCAGTCGGAGACTTACGATATCTCATTGTATGCATCCGTTTGGCGAGGGTCCAGCTCTAGATAAACTGAAGGAAACATAATACACTATTTGATAAGCATTTGTAATTAATACTTCTATTACAATAAATAAGGTTTATTTTCATGGTGCTACGTTTAATCATATTTTATTTACATAAATCAAATAAAGATTTAGAACATTGGTTGCAGTAGTTTACTTTATATATTTTCTTCATATACTTATTTAACAATTTTATGAACGTAGTGGAACTTGGTGGTATTTATATGAAAATACAAAAGCTTTTGTCACTTCTCATCTGTCCTTATCCCCCCTACTGCAACGTATAATAAGTAGGTATCTTACTACGATAGTATTGGGTAATTTTATGGGAACAATACTTATGTTGAATGAACGCTTGATGAACTATTATTGCATATTATATTGTTAACAAAACGACAGATACCTATACTACCTTTAAATAAATATATTAATTGACACACATTTCATAGGTAGCCACGAAATTATGAAACCAAATCAGTTTAGTTCTTCTAAATATATTTGAATACTGATTTCGTAATTTGTTGACGTTTAGGTTTCATTCCATCAGATGTCCATGAAACCTGATTTCTTGACCTAAGGTTTAGATACGTGGAGATTACCTACTTACTTATTTTTTATATAAGTTGAATATAATGAATATTAAAATTTAAACGATTGAATTAATTAGTTCGTGGTGTTTCGGTGTTTATAATTTAGGTCTGTGAACATCCTTCGGAATTTAATTGATTAACTAAACCTCAAAGGTTTATTGACGTTTATTAATGCATGAAATCTATAGGTACTAGGTTAAACTAATCACACAAAATGTACATATGTCCTAGATTATTATATATCTGTGAGTTCTGATTAATACAAGTAGACAAAATGTAGTCCATAATATATGTAGGTACATTATGAAAAAGGAAGATACTTACATTGTTGTAAGAGAGGTATAATAGGTATCTGGTCAGGAATTATTTTTTTAAACCCAGAATTAGGATATTAACCTACTTTTTTATGTATCTTAAATTACGACTAAATACCAATAATGTTTCGATTGTAGAAAGGTCAAATTATGAACTTACTTACAAAAAATATCACATTAGCTAGCCGACACTACCACTGTCTTAAATGATTGCGATAACAGTAACTTTTGTCATTGTTATCCCTTAAATTATAAGTGCTAACAAATGTACGCATTTGTGCAATAGATGGTACGTTGAGAATACTAGGTAAACACCCCAGGTTTGCTCCTCCAATAAAATACTCAAGCTAATAAACGCACGCTTAACCTCTATAAATCACTCGGTCTACATTGAATTAATAATTTATGGAAAATGTTTGTGTTCACTATCAGCACTTGTTAAAGTTTAATTAAAAATGTTCTGTCGTGTGCACTTCATAAACGATAATCGGTAAAGTATTGTAGCGCGAAACCGCTTAGATAATAAATGTGTGTTTTTCGAAATCACAAACGGACAATAGACACTGTTTTATTTATGTGTAAAGATCAGAGACGCTCCCCAATATTCGGCGTAGTGGTGGCGACTATAAAACCATAAGCGACTCATACGGATCATTACAGAGCCGCACGCATCTGCAGCCATGAGAACAGCGGTGAGTGACACACGATCACACGACACTCGGCACACGTGACACACTACTAGTGAAATTGTGTACCTACACTTTGCATATTTAACTAAATCCATTAATGCGGACGCCGTGGATTTCTACTTAAATTAATATTTGTTTTTCCAGTTAGTGATACTGTCGTTGGTGGCAGCCATAGCGGGCGAGGCGCCCTACCACCTCCCGCGGCCGGGAATAAACGCACCAGTGTTCAACTACCCTACAGTGCCTGCGCCTGCACCTGCGCCTGCGCCTGTCCCCCTACTACCTGCACCGCAGTTCCAGCCTCAACAGCAGTTCAACCCTAACTCAGGCTACAATTACCCGGCTCCTCAGCCGCAGTACATCCAGCCCGCACCCCAGCACCACCCTCACCCACCCCCACCTCCAGCCCACCACCACCATCACCACCACCACCACCAGGCGCCTGCTCCAGTATACATTCCTTCACCGGCTCCTCAGCCCATACTTCGTCCTCAACCACTACCAGTGTTTCAACCTCAGCCACAACCTATTTACCATCAGCCCAGTCCTTCTTATGGAGTGCCTCAGGCATTTGCACGAGCACCAGTGCAACAAGCGACCGCGTTACCTGTATTCGCTCCTCAACCGGCACCACAACCTCAAGCACAAGTAAACTCTATCAGCCAGGTCTACCAGCCCATTTCATACTACCAGCAACAGCAGCAACAACAACAACAACAGTACTCACAGCAAGGCTACAACTACCAGCAGCCTCAGCCACAATTCCAGCCTCAACCACAATTCCAGCCACAACCTCTAGCTCTCCAGGCTCAACCACAGCTCCAAAATTCTGCACCTGTACTCTCCAGCTACCAGGCTGACTCCAACCAGTACAACATTGCTCAAGAACAAGTACACAGAGACGCTCTGGACTCCGTCGTAGTGAATCGTGTGCAGAATATAATCAAAGATGATGAGCACAGTGTTGCCCGTAATGCTGGATACCAGTCCTTAGTGTCGGGAGTGTCTCTCGGACAAGCAAAACCTAGTGTAGAAATCACTTCCTTTGTCCACACTTCACCTGTAGTGACAAGCTCTGGACATAGCGCAGAATTATCATCATCATCATCATCGAGCTCGTCCTTGGCGTCTTCCGCAGTGTCACTTCCTTCAATAGACTATGGAGTTCCTTCTGCGCCTGCTGCCATAAACTCCCAATCTGCAGAGTCATCTGCTACATACAATTTCTTACCACAGAACAAGCCAGCTATATCGTACGGACCACCAAACTAATTTAGGTTACGTCTAAGTATTATTATACAAAGAGTTTTGTAAATAGTCGATTTTTTAAGACCTGTTGTAAATAAAATACAAAATAAACCCTTTATTATTTTTATTGTTCGTTTCATTATAATTACTTTTAATTATTTTTCGTTTCATTATAGTAACAATTATTACAAATACCATAAATACATACAAAAATACAAACACGATACATGCACGATACATGCACATACAAATATTAACTCTGTTTAACATGTTGTTCTTGTGCATTCTGTGTTTAATTTATCAGCGCAGATAATTTTCATAAAGAGCGGATAGTCGGCGACACCCTTGTCCTAAAAAAATATTAAAATTGTGTAATGATTACGTAACAAACGTGCTGAGTGTACGTAAGAAGTGATAAAAACTTACGAAGCATATGGAATGGTCCGATGTTTGTACGGCGTCCTCCGTGACACAGGTGACTTTACTCACTATCGCTACTTCTTTCACTGTGCAATCACACTTGCCGTCGACTACAGTTACAGTAGATTGAGATTGCCGCCTTATGGATTTAGGGCCAAATATCTGATTTACCTCTTGAGGTTCCTGGAAAATGCACATTAAATATCAATTTAATTGTATTGTACTTGTAGATGCTTATTAGTTTATTAGTATACTGTCAAAGAAACTAACCAATTTTAAAATAAGAGCTTTTAATCAAAATTTACCCGTTTGGGAGCGACTTCGTTGACACAGCATGTACACTGAGTAGACTGATACTGGGACTGAGTATCAACCTTCTCTACATTCTCTTCAGGACATTGACAACATATTTGTAACTTTTTCTCCCTTTTTTGTTTTTTGAACGGAACTTTTTCTACTGAGAGAATGATCTGGACATTTGACACTTTGCTCGCTTGTCTCTGAAAAAGTTAACATTATTTTATTAAAGTTGTTCAATTTTTGTATTTTTATTATTATATTTTGTATAAATTGCTCCCATTCCCAATTCGTCAATATAGGATCATTTTGAAGAATTACCGAAATCGGTGCGTTTCCGGTATCTACATTGCAACAGGTCGGCGCTTGTTGTTCTTGTTTTGCAGGCTCACACTGCACTTCTACATTGACTGGAATAACTATCTCTTCTGGAAATTGGCAGGCAGCGCAGACTGCTCGTGATTTCGATGGCACTTGTTGAATTTGATCTTGTTGACATAATTCGCAGGTTCCCTGTGTTTTTGGACCTTCTTGTGCTGCTTGGGGTATTGTGTCTATGGGTTTCTGCACACTCCTCTCACAGACGCTACTGAGGCTTTGTGATCTCCCAGAAGATCTTGCACTACAGGGTATATTAGACGATGCCACGGTAGCGTTGGATCTAACCCCAGACGTTGGAGTTCTGAAATTATAAAACATCATAAATACAAAAAAAAACCTAGTTGACACAAAAACTAGGATTGATAAATAATATTAGTCATCCACTTACTGGTAGCAATTTTCAGATACAGCGCGCGTCAAATCCTTCGGTTGCAATATAAATTCACAGCTTTGATTATGGCCCCTTGAAACAATAAAAGACAATTTATAATTATTCATGTTAAGTAAACGAAACATGTAAACAAAACAAATTTTGGTTTACAAACTTTTCAGGGAAATCTGCGTTGTTACATGGATGTCTACGTTTTTTCCAGGGGCTAAAAAGATAGACGTTATACATATTATTATTATTGTTATAGTGTTCAATTCAAAATACATACATACCTAGTTAAAACAAGTAATAGTGACTTACCTTCTGATGCGCGAAAATTTTCTAGTACACGGGTCACGTGTTACACTGAAATTGGTAAACAGATACTTGGTCACATTATATTTGGATATACATAGAATAAGCGCAAATAAATACAAGTTATTTTGTTTCCTATCTTAGAGCGATTTCAAAATATTGTGATTTTATCGTGCAAATTCAACAATTACAGTGACACGCAGTTATCAAAGATGATAGTTGTAATATGATGAGATGGAATTCGTGTACCTATCAAGAATTTATAGCTTTTGTCGATGCTGTTTAGTGCAGAACAAATTGACAATGGAGAAAACTTTAAAATGGCTTGCAGTTTACGACATGCTTTTTAACACGTAAGTATTACATTATTTTAGTATTACGAAAGTGAGAAATGATGACGTGTCATTCTAGAATGTGTCAAAGCCTTTCTTACCAAGGAACAAATTCTTCTACGGTAGTCGTCTTCTGTATCTTCAGCTCGTAACACTGGTTTTGTCGACTCTCACATAGGTACTCGATGTATTTACTATCCAACCAATCGGCGAAACTGGTCACTTCTGGGTTAAAGTCAAACCTTTCTGGTACACGTTCCTTAATTAAACAGAAATATTTACCTATAATATTGTCAAAATTATCATTTACCTAGTTTTTTTCGACCGATTCAAAGCTTTTGTTTTGATTGACGTACTTACCTGATGGTTTTGTTGGGTTCTGAGTTTCTATACCGCTAGTCTAATAGGTCCAATTTGTTTAGTATATTTTTAGTCATGTTGCAAACAAAGGCAAATTACGGTAGCTGTACTGAAGTTTGTATTTTTAAATAAATGTTTTACCTGAGTGTACCATTTGAAAGCTTTCACAAAACAATTCTCTTTCTTGGGTACGCATGTTTTGCACCTGTTTTGAGACCGGGGCTAAAACATATTATAAACAATTGACTTGATACTTCTGGATTGTGGATAAGAATAAAATAGATAGAAGAAGAGAATAAAGATAATTCTTAAAGAGAGAAAATGTCAATTCTCAACATGATGATATTGGTTGATGAAAGAATAAATACTGATAATAAATAGTCATTTTCTTCACTCATAAATATTAACTGAAGCTAGGATTACTCTTTAGTGTAATGCATTAAACAACAACTCGACAATTGTTGTTTACACAAAGACATGATGTTCATAAATATAGTCAGAATTTTAATTAGATTCCAGATTTGACAATAGCTACTGTCATATTGTGAAATAATGATACCACATATAAAAGTGTAGTGATGAACACAAAAATCGATAAACAATCAGTGTGTGTGTTTTATAATAAATGTTACAGAAAATGACAGGATAGGGATAGCAATGACGGCGACAATTTATAAAATAACTTATTACCATAATACATCTATCTGTTTTATTTGTCATGTTCCTTTATAATTACATTTTGTTATTTATTTCACACACAATTATAAAAGAAAAGTCTCAGATCGTTAATTAATTGTCAAAACTAAATTATCGGTTCAGAAATATTTAATTTCCTGATATACTTAGTTTACGAGAGTAAAATTATAAACGAAAAGAATCGATCCAGAAATATTGCATTTCCATATCGAATAATTTCGCAACGTCACTATTTAGTACTTGTCATAACGTTGCAACACTGAAATTGTCAAATCTGGAATCGAATTAAAATTCCGAGTATAGTTGAATCTTCATCAATGGTTTCACTCCCGCTAACTTTGCACTAAAATCGTACTAGATGAATGATTAATATAAAAGGCTTTGTTTTGTAAATTTGGAACACTTACTAATTCAGCGTAGTATACTAAAGGATGAGCCATAGTGGTAAACGTAGGGCCCCGTCGACTGGTTACCTTGGACTTTCCATGATAAAACATGCAGCTGTTGCGTTTATCTTCAAGTAAATAAGTGCATTGAGAGCAATCACAATTTTCACAATCACTGGACGATGTGGAAGACATAAGGGATTTATATATTACACAATAAACACAAAAATGTTCAGATTTTGGTGATTTGGCCAAAGATTTAGATTAGATCATGACGTCTTGGTTACTTTCTGTCATATTATCTTTCTGTCAGTTTGGTTTTTAAAGAAGATTGAACTAATAAGTATTTAATAGTTATTAAATACTCGTAGTTATTAAATAATAGTTATTAAATAATAGTCTTTAATCAACTCGTCTTCTAATACTGCAGAGCGAGCTCGCTTATTGGCTGTGGGAGAATGGGAGTCAGGATTGTGGCTTCAGGCACTCCCGTCACCCTTCATAGGTACTATGGTCCGCCTAGCTGTATGTTTACGTTTAGGTGCTCCTTGTGTTTCTCCGCATTATTGTCACTGTGGAGAAAGAGTCGATGGCTTGGGACACCATGGTCTTTCTTGTTGCAGAAGTGCAGGCCGCATAGCTCGCCATGCCAGCATCAACGACATCATTCGTCTTGCTCTTGCCTCAGCCGATGTACCAGCCGTATTAGAACCTAATGGTTTGGTACGTGATGACGGCAAAAGACCAGATGGTATGTCGTTGCTGCCTTGGAAGATGGGTAGGCCTTTGGTGTGGGACGCGACGTGTGTAGACACCCTTGCGCCATCACATCTTTTAAGCACCGCTGCAAGCGTTGGTGCAGCTGCTTCTGCGGCAGAGGCCCTCAAACGGCGTAAATATTCAAATCTAGTAGGTAACTACTGTTTTGAGCCGTTTGGGGTCGAAACACTTGGGCCATGGGGTCCCAGTGCACACTCTGTGTTTAAAGATATCGCCCGTAGGCTAATCGACTCTACGCGTGACCAGAGGGCTGGCTTTTTCTTCGGACAGAAAATAAGCATTGCCATTCAACGTGGCAATGCTGCCAGTCTTCTGGGAACGTTCCCCTGTGGTAGTGATGCGGATGAATACTTTGACGCCTAAATTAAGGGTATAATTTTTGTTGTATTCTTTTTTACTTTCGTTTTATTTAATAGTATAGTTGTAGTTAATTTTAAGTTGTAAATATTTATGTAGTTTTAAAATTATCTGTACATATTTTATTCAACAATAAAATTCCGACCATAAGTATTTATATTTTTCCTTGCTAACTTTGATTGGACGACTGGACTATACCTATTATTTATTTTTGAGTAAATATATCTAGTTATTTGTATTATGATTATGTATTATGTAGTAATGAGAGGCATAATACGGTTGTCATATCTTTAGGGTTAACAAATTAATTTTAATAAAAAATACTTTGACTGGACGTGGCTTTCACCTTTTGGAACATGTAAAAATTGTTGCTTTAAGCTATTTATCAATACTTAATTGGGCTGATTGAGTTTATGATTCAATTTTCTAATTGTCCTTTGAGTTTATAAAAAAGTTTTTAAACTCTCCTCCATTTTTTATTTCGAAGCCCCACTGAATTGTTACCGTTCTTGTAACAAATGGCAGACTGCAAAATGTTGTTTTACTGGCTTATATTATTTTCATCATGTGTCCCTCTAGTGTTTAGTTATAATAATAGGCTGTTTACGTTGTTCAACGCTGAAAATGTTACCGGTATGTACTTTACTTTGATAATATGATTTTATAGAAAAAAAAATGCATAAATGTTTTCTGTTCTAGATTCCCAATGTGGTATTTATCACTCATCGTTTCAGCAATTGAAAAGGTTTACATTTACTAAGTCTGTAGAAGACCAAACTATTTTTGGGTACACCTTCGTCACCGTCAGCATTTATGTTCCAAACACCACAGGTAAGATATATTATGCTGGTAATTACATCATTAAGTATCTACTAAGTCTTAGTTCTGAGAAAAGTAATGGTTATTCCATTACTTTCTCAGAACGTTAAGAATAAAATGCAACCAAATGGTAAGGATGGACGGAATGAGTCAGATTGTATTGTGATACAGATACCTAATTACAGCATATTTCCCTTAAACATGGATGATTATATATAACAATTGAGGAAATTATTTTCTTTCCACCAATACCATAAAATTTTTTTGCAGATCCCTTAATAGGATTTGAAAACATTTTCAATCGAGTTTTATACGGACGCAAATCTGGTAACTAAGTATTTCTATTATCCATTACCTACTAGTAGTAAAGTGATAAGTTAGTAAAGTAGTAATTTATATTTAGATATTATAAATGTCATGTAATGCCTAGGCCTAAGTATACATAACGTTTTAGTGAAATTTCGGTAGAAAAAGTTGGGCAAAGTTTAAAATTCGTCATAGTAATTATGTGAGTGACACAACGTTGTATAATATCGAAAACCTGTTGGCGGAAGCTTTCGGCGACCTAGTGTAGGCATAGGTACTTATATATTATTTATATTCAGGGCGGTGCGGTGACCACTGGCCACCTGACCAGTGTCGATGTCTGTCTGTTGCCTAGTAAACAATTGGGTCATAATCATAAACTAGGCGTAAATTTTAATATCACTATCTACCTCAATTTTGCCAGTAGCTTTTCTACTAGGAAATTATGGAGCTACTGTTTTCCTATTCTCCATAAAATGTGAATCTAATATTGTATACATAATTATTGTTATATGTAAGTAAGTATAGTTTTCAAATATACCGATATGTATAGTGTTTATTGAATATTATGATTATGAGATTTGTTATTTATTACACTGGTACATTGCCTATTTATAAAGGTTTAAATCACCTGCTACTCTCATCTTTGCACTGCTTAAAGGTTGATTGGGAGACAATGCCCGAGGCATTAAGTCCACCTGTACACACTTGTTGTATGATGTTGAAAAATAAATAAATAAATAATTAGTAGCTATTATTTGATACGTAGTTGATATCTATGATGATCATCTCCGCCTCGTCCTCCTCCTTGCATCATATTGCTGAGGGTCGTAACCACACTTTCGCACCACTTTCCCTCTAACAATCTTTTCCATGTAATTTTGTGTTTAGTAGTGCGTAGGGTGTCTTGTATAGGGAAATCCCTAAAGAACATATCATGATCTTTTAGTAGCACTAGCTATAATAATGTATGCCTGAGTAGTATGTAACCTAGAACAATGAATACTTTTAAATCATGTTACGAGGTCAGTGTTCTATTTATTTGGCACAGAATTTATGGAGCCAGACAAAGATTTAGAACTTGAGACCCTTAAAACTACTGAAAACGATAACCTGGCGCACTGGCCCTCGGGACAAGTTATGAGGTAACCTAAGTTGTAACCCAGGTAGGTTACATTACATTCCAATTATGATACCTGGCTATTTGTACATTATCCATTTCGTATGGTTTATTTATTTACGCATTGTTATTTACTTAATTCTACCTATTTTGGTTATAAAGAAAGTGTTAAATTTATGCAGATCAGAAACATTTCAAGGCAAGAGTGCTGTGCACATGCCGTTCCTGGAGTACATGCATAAGGGTCACTGTCGTCTGAAGGTCACCAAGGATTATATGCAGACGGCTGTGAATGCCTTCGCGATATTCGTTTCTGGAGACCTTATTGATGTTAAAAATTTACCTGCATCTTACGTGCTAAACTCGGTTAGTTATCATTATCATTCAGTCGCTAAGGAAGTAGCAATGGTTATTTAAATAGACATTAACTTCTCACCAGTTCTGGTAATCTATTGATAGCATAATGCCGCATACTAGACATCATTTTAATTATTTCCTTTTTAAAAGGCCGGCAACGCACCTGTGACTCCACTGGTGTTGCGGGTGTCCTTGGGCGGCTCTGCTCGTTTGCTTCCTACTCCATAAAAAGGAAATCATTTCAGATTTAGAAAATTTATAAACATATAACTCTTTGCCAGGCGTAGTGATCGAACTTGTATACAAGGGTTTTGAGTTCGATCGTTTTCGATTGAATTTCGATCGATTAGTAATGATACAACGATGCCTTTTGTAATTTAATTAATTAATTACAATAAAAAAATATTATCTTTTTGTAACACTACTTGATTCATTACGACTGAGTGGTCACAAGTGCAGCTAGTCTAAACATTAGTTTAGCTCTATTGAACTTAATAATTGGTAAGACATGACAGGCTCGCACAATAGCCATGATGAAGGTGGAACGTGAGAAGTTGGCAGCGACGTGGTATGTAGTTAAAGGGTCCACACCGACAGTGAACGTCACTTATGAAACCCTGGAGAAGTTCCGACCACTCTTCAAGCATGTCAACGCCAGGGAGATCGCCAGGCTCAATCTCTCTGATGACAGAATACTATCGTATATTGGTACACATCCTGATCTTAATAGACATCAGGTAATCAGATCTAAAAATATTTTCAATGCAATCAGACAACTAAATAGCACTTTATGATTAGATTCGTTCGTAGCGATGAGTTCGTTATTTTCTGTCTGATTAGGAGAAACACTAAAAAACTCTCCAATTTCGATTTTAGGTTAATATAGACATAAATCTTATTACTGTATCTAGTTAAAGTCACATTATTGAATAAACAGCTATATGTTGTCTTACTACAGGTGGGGGTGGTGGCTAGTAGATATATACAATTAAATCCTAGATGGACAGAGCCTAGATACCTGAACCTCATGAACAACTTGTTATGTGGAGTACCCATGATCTTCATGAGGAGGATCCCAGAAAACACATACCTGCAACTGACGCACCAGGTTTATAGATGTACTTTTAACACGTTTACTGAAACCTTAGACTAGTTATCATCATCATCACAACACATTTATCTTGTTTGCAGATATTTTACCACATACGGGCATGCGATCCATTACAGCGCAGGTTCTATTTGACAATGATGATGAGAACTCAGGTAAAAATGTTCCGTAATCATATCAAATAAAAGAAAAAAAAAAAACATACTGTGATGTGTTAAGTAACAGATGTGTATAGCTCCTAAAAAATTTTAATAGTTGATATAGCTAGTACACAGATTACAACTTGTTGCCGTATATTATGTACAGGCGCTCGGGAAATCGTATAGTTGGAGTGCGCGAGAAGTGTCTCGGCTCGGATTGTTGCTAGCTGAAGTCAGTGGCTCAGACCTGAGTGCCGTCAACCCTGAGGCTATGTCTGGAATTACGTCACAGGTTAGTTGATGCTAGTTAGAAACCACACAAGAACCAAAAAGACTAAATTCATCTTTGCACTGCGAATCGCGTTTATAGAGCAGAACTTAAATATATTATATTTAATTGAATTTGAATACTATATAAGTGTTTATTTTATATTGATTCAACATTACACATTTTTAGAAAACTGCTTCTGTCACAGAAGCACTTTTTTAACCAAGTTGTTCTTATAAGTACTGTTTACAATAACCTAATTACATTGTTATGGATCTGTACACAAATTTATGTAAATGAAACTTTTAGGTAATGTTGGAAATGCCGATACAAAGCCTGTTGTCGATCACAGAGATGCAGTTACGTTACCTCGATACCAAGTGCCTCAACATCTTGGCACGTAAGCTGATCTCTTATCAAGAACATCTTGAAAGCTCCAGCTTTAAAGGCTATCCAATATGGCCTCCACGATATTCAATAATATTAGTTGTCTGTGTTGTACATGGCGTTGTATATTATAATCAATTTTAGTTCTTATTGTAAACATCGTTTCATTCGTGTTCTTGATGAATTGCTATCGCTGGTGAACTAAAAGCGCCTGATGTAACAAAAAAGCAAATCAACATGCCTCTTCATAGTATTGTACAAGTCCAGGAACGACAGCACACTTGTTAAAAACAAGTACCCAACAACTCAAGTAAAAAGAAAACGAAAATAATTATTTGAATATTTTGTATTTTCAAAATGAATAATGTTTCAATACGTCCAACGGCGGCAGATGGAATGAATATCGCCCATCTTCATGGAGTCGAGCTTCCAGCTACAAAGGCGTAACATAATGTACATTATTAAAATATTTCACATACTATATTTATGATTAACATAATTATAATCAGAATTATTACTGACTTACCATAACACAGCACCACTGCGTCTGTGAGTGCGTGTGCGAGACATCCTGCTGGCCTGCTTGGGACTGCACTTGCATACATACTCGACTGGTCAATTGTTCACCATCTTCTGGGTTTTTCTGTAGGCATGTCGGTGGACAAACTTTCTGACTTCCTTGTGACTGAGTCGTTGCTTCTTTGGGTTGAGAGCTTTCTTGTGATTGCATTTGAGTTTGCGATGGGTTTTGTGTAGTGTCCGGTACTGGAGGACAAGTCTGACATTTTTCTTGTAACTGTTGCTGTTGCTGTGTTTGGTTTTGAGTTTGAGGACATCTTTGCGGACAACCTTGAGTTTGCACTTGCTGACTTGTGTCAGGGGAACTTTGTGATTGTGTTTGCGAACATGTTTGTGGACAACACATCGTTTGTGCAGGTTGAGAACAATTTTGTGGTTGCAATGCTGGACAATTTTGTATCTGTGGGCAATTTTGTACTATGACTACTTGAGCACTTGCTTGTGGGCAAATTTGCGGACACTGCTTCAGCACACCGCGGGATATTTTTGACCCAACCTGTGGCTGTGAGGATTGTTGGGAGTCATCTGTTTGCACGCTTGTTTGAGGATATAATTTGTGGCAGTTGGTGTTTGGTGTATTGCAAGTGGCATGGCAAGTAGCATTGCAAGGGGCACGGGTCGCCATAGATAGCTGAGAAAAGCTATCTTTTCTAAACTCGCATTTCAAACTGTCTTCAGTTATACTCACTTTATGTTTAGTCACTAAACATTCACTTTTGGTATCTTCTGTTTGTGATGTAGAGTTTATCACAGCAATAAGCCTTCCTGTGTCTTTTTTATTTGTTGCACCAGTTTCTAAAGCCATATCTGAATGAGTTTTCTTTATTGGAATACCACTACTCAATCGTTTTGCATCACATTGCACCGTTGATACATGTGATTGACGCAGATTATCACAATTACATCTGAAAGTGTTATGAAATTAAGAAACCATTTTCAATCATAGCAATTTTACACGTTTGGATAGATGATCATTGATGATCATTGTGACTGTTTATTTGCTTAATATAATACATGGTGAAAACTAGTAAATAAAACAGCCAAGATAACTTCTATTATACGTATACCTACATACATACACATACGATGATTGATGATTAAAGTTGTCTAAGCAATAATTCCACCTAAGAAGTGAACAGATATTCTAAATTCTAGTCTGTCAAGGAACCCATATCTTAATTACAACCGGTGGATCTGGAAGTTTTTGCATGCGTTCTATGTTCAGAAATGGACATTTTATGGCTGATAATTATTATGATGCTATAATTTTCAAGGACGAAAACCATTATTACGTACCTGACATGGATTATTTAATATTATAGTGATATCGATGTTCGATGTTATGACGTCTTAAAGCCAAAGTGGTTCTGCTGAGGGAACGAGATCTCGCTAGACGACTTGTATAGCTCTGTTTCTTTCCCTCAATGGAACCATTCTGACTTTAGGACGTCATAATAACCCCGCTGATCAGGCACCAGTCGGCCATAATTTTAGACCAGAAGTTTATTTTTGTAAAAAAAGAATAAGTAAGTTAAGTCTTACCCATCTTCTAAATGTTGCGGAGAGCTTGGTAATAACACGATATACTTTTTACTTTCACAGCATGCCGGTAGATCGCTTCGGGGCTGGTTATTTAGTCTGTCACAACAAGCACATTGGACAACCATTACTTTCGGATGACCCTCAAAACCGCTTCCCTTACAAGTCTCTTCATCGAGTAATGATTGTAATGATTTGCTTTGCTCATATAAATCATCATCTATCGTTATTTGTGATCCTTTTTCTATAGTAACTATATTTGTTAAGGACCTGGACTTTTGGGTAGTATTTTGGGATGATACCACTGACCTGTCTCCATTTATAACTTCAATGTTGAGTTTTAGATTGACTATGTCCCCTTTATTTAAAATTGATATGACATTTTCTTTTTCATTAGTAGCGACCCTGCTGTCTTGTAAGCTAGGTAAGTTAGAGAATGCCCACTGCATTTTTGTTGTATTATATGCAATTGCTCCCTGCCCATACTGCTCCGCTGCATCACAAACTTCTGCATACGTTTGAACTCCTTCGTTAACAGGTATAGATATGACGCTGCGCTGAATAGTAAAAAGTCCTGTTTTTGCCTGGTCCGGAGAATCCTTAATGTCATCAATAACGTGTTTAACCGAATCTAATCTCATAGAGGCTATTTCGGTTTCAGGATTTTTTAGTAAATTTTTAGAGATAATAATTATTTCTTTATCACCAATAAAATTTTCTATAGGAATACTATCTGTTGCTAAACTTTTTTGATTAGATATAACCTTTATAATTGAAGTGGAAGCTTTCTTTGTGTCCTTAGAACCAAATTCTACCATCGGAGGTGTAATAACAGGTGAAGTAATGTGCTGGAGTGGATATTTGGCCACTGAGTATTGTTTTTTAAGTTCATTAGAAACAAAGTCAGGAACATTTCTATTATCTTTTGTAACTAATTTCTCTTCTGATTGATTTGGTACATTGGAAATCGGATTTTCTGGCCAATGTGTTATAGTTTTGTAGACACTTGGATAATGGTTCGATGACTTTCCTGTAGATAAGCTACTTTTACGTGCCTGTTGCTGTGTTTCAGTTAAAGGAGAAGTTACTATAGTCATGTTTCCTCCTGTATTGTCTAATCTAACAGGTTGAAAAGTTCTTTGGTCGACATCATTTAACATGGGATTCGGTTCGCCTAATCTATCGTTGATGTCAGTATCACCTAGTGGAGTTTCAGATTCATCTATTTGCACAGGCGGTACTCCCAATCTAGGTCTAGGATTTGTTTTCTCTTTAATACTTGTTCTCGCTCCAGCTGTAAGCGGCTTGTTACGATGATCAGCTGTTTTCAAAAGTGAGCCTTTCCTTTCAGTATCTTGACCACTGCCACCCCTGATCCGAAGATCACCACCTTTGCTGTGATTTTCTCCGGATCTAGATCTAAAATCACTTTCTCTAATTTTCTGCATACTTACTCGATTATTTCGCTCAGGATCTTTTAAACGAGACTCGTTTATTCTAGCTGTATTTTCATTAACTGAGCTTCTTGGTTCTCCTACTTTGCTTCCATTTATTCCGTTTCTAGTTTTCTGTTGACTTAGCTTGCGTGTATGTTCATTTTCTCTGCCTTTCTGTTCACTAGGTGGACCTTTATATCCAGTACCATTGTTTTTCAATTCACTAATTTTCCGATCATATTTATTTTCTGCTTTATTATGTTGACTTATATTGTCATTCAATGAGCTTCGAGGGTCAGTTAATCTACTTCCATGCAATCCGTCTCTTGTTTTTTGTTGACTTAATTTTCGTCCAGTTTCATTTTCTCTGCCTCTCTGATTGCTAAGGCGACTTCTATATTCAATACTATTGCTTCTCAGGTCATTCATTCTTTGGTCAAATTTATTTTCTGCGTTATTGTAGTCACTTTTATATTTATTGAGTGAGTTTCTTGGCTCTTCTATTTTGTTGCCGTTTATTCCGTTTCTAGGTTTCTGTAGACTCGGTTTGGGTATGTATTCTATTTTACTAACTTTCTGTTCACTAGCTTGACGTTTATGATCAAGACCATCTCTTTTCAGTTCACTCATTCTCCGGCTAAATTTAGTGTCTGCGTTATTGTATTCACTATTATATTCACTTATATTTTCATTCAATGAGCTTCTTGGTTCTTCTATTTTATTTCCGTTTATTCCATTTCTAGGTTTCTGTTGACTCGATCTGGGTGTGCATTCATTTTCATTGCATCTGTGTTCACTAGCCTGTCCTTTGTAATCGTTGCATTCATTGCACATTTCATAAACCTGTCCTATATAATCAAGACCGTCACTTTTCAGTTCATTCATAATACGGTCAGATATTTTTTCTGTGTATTCACTTTTATATTCACTTATATTGTCATTGAGTGAGCTTCTTGGTTCGCCTATTTTGCTACCGTTCTTTCCATCTTTAGGGTTTTGTTGACTCAGATTGCGCATGTATTCATTTTCACTGCCCCTCTTTTCATTAGGCTGACTTCTATACTCAAGACCATTGCTATTTAGTTCACTCATTCTCCGGCTAAATTTAGTGTCTGCGTTATTGTATTCACTATTATATTCACTTATATTTTCATTAAGTAAGCTTCTTGGTTCTTCTACTTGACTTCCGTTCATTCCGTTCCTAGGTTTCTGTAGACTCGACTTTGGTGTGCATTCATTTTTATTGCATCTATGTTCACTAGCCTGACCTTTGTAATCATTGCATTCATTGCACATTTCATAAACCTGACCTATATAATCAAGACCATCCCTTTTCAGTTCATTCATAACACGGTCAGGTATTTTTTCTGTGTATTCACTTTTATATTCACTTATATTGTCATTGAGTGAGCTTCTTGGTTCGCCTATTTTGCTACCGTTCTTTCCATCTTTAGGGTTTTGTTGACTCAGATTGCGCATGTATTCATTTTCACTGCCCCTCTTTTCATTAGGCTGACTTCTATACTCAAGACCATTGCTATTTAGTTCACTCATTCTCCGCTCATATTTATTTTTTGTGTTATTATATTC